CTTACCTTAACAGAACTAACAAATAATAAAACTATGATTACCAAAAAGTTAGCAACAGATATTATCAAAAGATGCGTAGGAAGACTCCCATGGACATGGCCTTAGAAAACTAAAAAATAAACACACTTCCAAAAGAAAAGAAGGATGATCCTACAGGGAGAAAATATTCTCTTGTGTTATTTTGACTTAAAGAGCCAAAATAAGCAGGCGGTCTTTGTACGTTCACCTGCTAATGGCTCTGAAGCAGTAGCCCAAAGAATGGTGTTCTTTTTATTACTCTGCCGTTGATTATTTTCTGAGAGGGTGGACAGGTTTGTCCTGACATAGTACCTTGTAAGAAGAAAGACCACTTTTCTTTTCTTAGGATAACTGATGGGTTTCTCTATCACACTGGAGCAAAGCAGTTTTGTTTATGTAGCTATACGCAACATTTCTGATTTTTATATTACGGAATAACCTGAAAACAAATTTTGTAAGTAGTTCATTGTTCATTCCTTGTTTCTTATGACATCCTGTAATTTATTTTAGGTAAAATGTGTTAGTAAGAAACTAACACAACTACTGATTAAACACACATGACACACAATATCATGGCTTCTATGACAGGAGCCCAAAAAAGTAGATTTCAAGAAGCAATTGCATTAGCCACACCAAAGATTTTGAAAGGTTATTATCTTACAAGCAATCAAGTTTCTTGTTTAGTTTAAAAACTCCTAATAAAAATTAACATTTTTAGGATAAAATGTTCATTATACATCATTGCATACAGTTTCTATTTTAGTTTTCATTTTTGATTAAGATTCCAAATAATAAAACTATTTGCAAATTGTTGGTTTCCTTGTGCCTTCCTCTTTCTTTAGCTAAATTAACAGATATTCTAAATATCTATTTTCATATATTAAGTAGCCTTAAAATGAAATTGGTTATACACTTGCATTTTTTAGAATAATGCCCAAATATGTAATCACCCTCTAATCCCTTAAAAAAAAGGATAAATTATAATTATATATCTAGGAAAAGTAAAAAGATATAAAAATTTGAAAAGTATGTTTCTAAAATGGTCTAGTTACAGCATGGTGGTTCAAGAGCATATTTTTTTAGCTTTGGACCTGTTGACCTTCCTTATTCCACTTCAATTCAAGCTCAATGACAGTACCCAGACACTCTATCAAGATTTGAGAGCCTATGAAAGTGCAGAAAACACAGACTTTGCTCCTAACCACAAGCTAGTGAATATGCGTGCCAGATTAATTATTATCTGGCATAAACAACAATGGTGACGTATAAAATGCCATAGAAGGATTATTTTGACTTATCTTCAATGACGAAAGGCTTCTCAGACAAGATGGCATTTTCTCCAGGCTTTAAGAAATGGGGATAATTTCAACAGGTGCAGAGAGAAGACAGACAATTCCAGACAGAGCAAAGCACAAGAAGAAGCCCAGGGATTTGAAAGCTTTGAAAGTGTCGTGAATTTGGGGAACTTTGAACGGTGTCTGGAGCCTGTGGAGGTAGCGGAAGGGTAGGGGAGGTGAATCTGGAAAGGTCGGATAGAGTCATGGTGCCCACACAACCACTAAAGGCCATCTTGCAAAAATTCATGTCCTTTACAAAAGCAACTCATCTGGTACAAAACCATCCTTCTCCGGGGATGGGAGGTGATCAGAGTGGGGAGTAGGGCTTCAACCAAAAGTGCAGAAGTAAATATAAGTGATACTCTTTACATTAAATAAATTACTGCTTAAAGAAGTATTAAAAAGGAAAAAACCCTACATTTAAGAAAGGTATATTACCCTTCCCCAAAACACAAAATGGGGAGCTATTCATTATTCTGTTTGCCAACATGTCAAATGTATTTGTATTTACATGTCAAAATGTGAAACTCAGGGGGCCGGCCCCTTGTCCTAGTTGTTAAAGTTCTGCGCGCTCCAGCTTTGGTGGCCCGGGTTTGTGGGTTCGGATCCCCGGCGGGGACCCCTTCTACTCATCGGCCATGCTGTGGAGGCATCCCACATACAAAATAGAGGAAGACTGGCACAGATGTTAACTCAGGGCTAATCTTTCTCAAGCAAAAAAAGAGGAAGGTTGGCAATGGATGATAGCTCGGGGTGAATTTTTCTCACCAAAAAAGAAAAAAAAAATGTGAACTTCAGTCAAAATGGACTATGATACAAAACGACAGTGTACTTAGTTTCTACACCTCATTTTCTTCTCCCAACAGGCTAAGATTTTTCCCACCTCAGGGTCTTCACACCCACATGGCTCTTCAAACCTTTGCATCCTTCTCTGATGTCAGCCCTCAGCCTGTAGCTCTCAGGGTGGGCCACGCTGACTACTGGATCTAATTAGGTCCCTCTCTCCACCACCTCACCTCCACGGTTCTCTACCTCAGTCCTCTTTGTACTTTATAGCACAAAGTTTTCAGTTTCCTGTTTCTTATTAATTTGTTCTTTTCCATATGCAATGACTCTCTACCCCATATTTGCAAGCTCCATGATGGAAGAGACTTCATCTGTTGTTCTACACATAATACCTGCAACAGGACCTGGCATGTAAAGGTTCAATAACTATTTGTCAAATTAGTGATGTTCAAATATAAAGATATATAAAATTGTCACACCTAAAAGTTGTATCTTTAAATTAACAAACCAGAATTTTAAAATTTCCTAGGGGTAAGTCCTATGCAAAGAGTGAGTTCTGGTGGAAAAGGTAAATGTGTTTAATAATATTTCCTAAAAGAGTATGTAATTAAATAATTAAATAATTATATAAAAGTACAGTTATATATAATAATATAAAATCATATGATTATATATTAACATATAACTTACATAATATAAAGTTGTAATATTTATTTTGCTTAAAATTAGTAATAATAAGTTTCTTTCGACACTCCAGAGATATATCTATTTTTTTACTAAAGAATATATTTTTATATATAAGAAATATAAGGAGGATAAAAGAAAACGTTCTGATGAAATTTCCTTCTAGCCTATCTTCTTTTCCATTCTCCCATCAAAAATAAGGTAGCAAAAGTGACTTCAAATATATTTTTCCTACAGATCATTGAGGCATGTGTATCATTTCAAACTCATGAATACCAAGAGAGCAGTCAGGGTTGAAAATGGTGAAATAGACTATCAGAGAGCTCAGATATCTTTCTATACCTGGATAAATATCTACCCCCACCTTAAAATTCAGAAGTGTAAAGCAAATCCTCCTTCATCACTCAATATGACACAAAACATTTATAAAATATTCTACTGGCTGTATATTTAAAGAATACACACCATACGTTTTAATCATTGTTTATATTAAAATAATCTTATCTAGAAGAGAATGTTTATTTACTTCAAGTGGATGGCAAATTTGGAGCTCTAGCTGGTGAAAACTGTTCTAAGAGATAATCTGAAGAAAAAAGGGGAGAAGCAAACACAAAGTCATGATAATGTGGCACTCCACGGATCATCGAGCTGGTCTTATAACACAGAGGTTTGCTGCATAAGGCTCTAGGCTAAAGTGGAAAATTAAAATCCACTTTTCTTAATAACTTGTACACCACTGAAAATATCATTGTCCCCAAAGCCTTCACCAAGAGGTTCCTCCTCTTATATTTAAATAATTTTATCTCCCTCAGAACTTCCCCTCTGATTTTCCTCGACGTTTGCCTTTTAAACTTGATTGTAAGAGCAAGTAATCTCCAATTTCCAATTGTGACAATGACCAATTACCCTTTTTAAGTATTTAGCTTTAGCCTTTTTGAATAAGCATTAAAACTTCGGGTCATAAATCTGTAAATGTGTGGAACCACACACGTTCACATAGATACACATGGATAGCACATGCTTCTCTCTCTTGTCTTTGGAACAACCGGGCCTTTAAAACAAATACAGCTGGGCACGGAGAGTATAATGTGCTGGGCAAACATATACTCCTATTAACGTAAATATACTCGTCGATGTTTCCTGCCAAGCCCACTAAGTTATGAAAAGCAAGCAATCCCCATTTCTCCCACAGAATACCCCACATGCTCTCAAAACAACCGCCCTTAGCAACTGGATGTGGAGACAAACGGAGAGGAACAACAGCCGCTGGGCTCGGGCTCCGAGGGAGTTGTCTTCTCAGACCCTGGCATTTTAGAGGCAGCAAAAGAAGGTCATGCTGGGCACTAGTTGTTTCTCAGAAAACATGTATAGTAAGGCAACTATTCTAGTCGTTTGTATGTAGTAACTGCCTGTTTTGCCTAATGTAATTCGAGAGTCATTGAATTTAAACGGACCCATATTGGGGATGTATACTTCTCCAAACCAACAATTCCACTCAGTCTTCCCTACTCTGCGCCCCTCCCCGCATCCCAGGATGTGAGTGAAGGGCTTCAGAGTGCTCAGCGCTGCCCGCTAAGCAGCTTTCCGGTAAATCTCCTCAAACTAACCCTCAGTTCACACACACTCTCCACTCACTTCCCTTACACCAGCCCCTGCTGAGGGCGCAGTGGGGACCACCACATTTCCCCAAAGTCTGGAAGCCAAGGAGGTTTCCAGGAGACTGGGAGGCCAAGGGAGGCCAGACACAGAAATTCCTGAAATCTCCAATCAGACTAGGAGTAATCAAGGCCCCTGAGGGTCGCGGGAAGGAAGATCTCTCCCCAGCATTCTGGAGTCAGACTATCCCCCGGGAAAGCCAAGACTCTCGGAGTAGAGAGGGATTTCCTCGGGAACCCAGCCGGCATAAGACTCGGAGAGCCAGAGGCAGCCGGCGAGGAGCGGGCCAACTTGCCGGCTCCTGGCGGGGTTGAGTTTTCAGCGGCTACAGGTTGCCTGGGAGCAGGTTCCCAGCTCCCGCGGGCGGAAGGCACTCAGAGCGCCCGAAAGGGAGATTTAGGGGGGCGGGGGTGGTACTGAGAGACGGAGGGAGGGAGGGGGGAGCCCGAAAGGCCCCATGCACGCAAGGGAGATGGAAGAGATCCGAGGGCGCACCTCCCAACAGTGACCCACACAGACCTTGGCGCCGCAACCTGCGCTTCTTGAGGCCGAAGATGCGCACTTTAGAGAAGATATCCACCAGGTTGCCGTTGCAGAGCCCGCGGTTCTTGCTGGGGCTGCTCCGCCTCCTGCTGGCAGACGGCCGGTCCCAATGCTGCTCCCGCGCCTGCCGCTTCTGGCGGATCAAGCCGCTAGCGATGGCCGCGGCCATGGTGGCCCCGCGAATGGGTCCGGAGGAGGGAGGGGACAGAGGGAAGGGGAACTGGGGGCACGCGAGGGGGAAGGGGCGGGGTAGACCGCGGCTCCCCCTCGGGGAGGCTGAAGGGGGGGAAGCCGGAGGGGTTGGGGAGAGAGGTAGGGGCGCTCAGTCCCCACTAGGACCCATTGCCCTCTCCGCGGAGCGCGGGGCCAGGCGCGCAGATGCGCCCGGGGCGCGGCGGGGCGAGCCCGGGGAGGCCGAGGTCGTGTCCGCCACCGCCCTGCCGCGTCGGAGCCTGGAGTGGGGCCGGGGCTGCGGGCGCCACCGGTCACCGCGCGCCGCCAGAGCGCTCTCAGGGGCTGCCACCGCCACTCGCGCTGTCTTCTTGTCCTGCTCGCCTCCCTGGCGGGAGGTAGAGCCGGTCGCCTTCTTCCGGGCACGGGATGGAGGGCAAGTCCCGGCCGGGTCTGGGCACGTCCGTCCGTCCAGGGCGCGCTGGGTGGGCAGGTCTCAGCGCCGGGCTCGAGCTGCCCCACGGCCGGTGTCGCCGCCGCCGCCGCCCGCTCTCGGGTTCTGCCAGTGATTGTCAAGTGCTTTGGAAATCAGCATCTGGAGAGAGCAATCTTCTCCCAGGAGATCTCTAATCAAAGCGCTTCGTTCCCACCCCACTACACTCCCCTCCCGTCCCCCTCCTATGTCTCTCTCCAGAAAGAAAAAAAAAATGTATATATAATAACGATTGTTTAAAATATTAATAATAATAAAAAAGAAAGCTAAAATGGGTTGCAGGGGGTGGGAGCTAGGAAGCTGAGCCAGAGCGGGTGGAAGTGAAGGAATATCGGTGCGCTTTTTCCTAGGCGAAACTCGCAGGGTTCCGAGGCTTCCGAGGCTTAGCTGGGGCTTCTAGATCTTAACGTGGCTCCTGGTCCACAGAAACTCTCAGCTGCGGTTGGAGAGCGAGGAGGTTTCCACCCTCCCCTCTAATGCCTTCAGCACCAAAGCCCCCCCTCCCCGGGAAGGACGGGGAAGGCGGGAGGCTGGAAGGGAGGAGAGTGTGTCCTGGGGAGGGAGGCGCCTCCACGCCTCACCTAGCCCACCCACACTTGCTCGACTCTCCCTTCTGCTGCCAGCAAGGGTAGGCTTGTCATTTTGAAACAGTAACACGGAGAAAAAGAGGGAGAGGGGGAAAGGGGAGAAGATGTGCTAAGGTGGTACAAAAAGACCCCCCTTCCCAAATTTGGTCTCCAGCACTTGGAGGAGATGACAGCGGCTGTAGTGTTACAGAATAGCAGAGAGGATAAACATCCAACGGAATACGGAAGAAGTCACCGCAGAAATATTAAGGGCGGGGGAGGGTGTCACAGTATTTCAGTGACAACAAAAAGCAGCCAGACTGAGGGACACTCCAATTTGAGCTGCTGTCTTCAGCGTCCCTGGGTAGAGAAGCTCTGTCAGGGAGCAAAGCCACATGAACTGTGTCTGAAATTCGGATACAACAGCTTACTTTTTCTGCTTCCCTTTAGGCTCTTTTGCTTATCATTACAGGAAGGTAAAAAAAAAAGAATTACAAACACCAGACTTCTCACAATCCAGTGTGAAGGATGGAGGAAAGAAGACTCACTTGGTAATCAAGAGAATCACTTCTCTGGTGACTGCTTTAGAGCTGGAAAGAGGAGAGGCACACTCTGTAAGCAGCCCTGGGAGCAGTTCTGAACCAACACACACTATCTCTTTGTCTCAGGAACAGACAGTAAAGTACTACAAAGACTTGCAACCAAGACAACTGGGAGAAGTTCAGCCAAGGGCAGATTGCAGGGAGGCTAGACAATTTCTGCTCTACAGAACTTATCCACAACCTCTCCATGTAAGCAATTGCTGTTATTCATGGTATTTACTCCATGTTTACTAACAAGTCTTCTTTGGGGAAGAGAATTTAATCTAAAGGAAGTGTGTAGATTTGGGTCCAGTGCAGATATTGGCTTTAGGATGTTGTATATCTATCTAACATTAAAGAACAAACTCTGTAAGCTTATTTTCCCCACGTTGCTATGTATATCTACAAAATAACCACAATTATTAAAAGGAATATGCAGGAGTAATTTTGCCAGAAATCTGCAATCCCTAATCACCCATGAGACAGTAAAAGTGAGGAAAAGGGTTGAGTCAACTATTTTGCTCTATCTCTACCTCTTTATTTTCTGTTTTACATGTCTTTGTTCTTACACTTACCAAGTGTGTATTTATGTTGTGTTGCCACACTCCTGCTTAAAAAGGGAAGGCCATCTGCAGAGATTGATACCTCTAATAGAAGTCTATTAAAGTGTGTCTTTTTAAAAATTCACTGGAATAAGTCCCATTGAACATAAAGAGTACTACTTCTACCTTGCATTATTGAAGATAGGTCATTTGGACATTTCAGACATATAGATTGGAATTTCCAAATGACTTTACAATTAAAGCAAACATATTTATCTAAAGCTTTTTTGTAGGGAGTTTTTCAAAGAGGCAAAATGTTAATGATAGTGACCTCTTAAATCTAGTACGACTCCCTCAATCAGCATAACCTAGTTTGCTCTGAAAGGTTTTTTTTTTTTTAATCCTTATGAAATATTTCTACTGTATTAATTTGAACTGAGATTAAGCTTCTTATTATTATAGCTGCGTTAATTATTTTGTTTCCAGGCATTTTCTTATACTGCAAACTTTTCCCCAATTCCTTGGATTGGATACTTGGGGTCGGTTTTTTGGCTCCTTCAGACACCTCCTCTCATTGTTCAGCACCGTCCAGACGAGGCTGTGATTCAGCACCATGGACAGGGATCCCGCCCTGGCCGCAGCTCCCTGAGCGGAAGCAAGTTCCCCTGAGGGTGGGGAGCGCTGGCTGTGAGTCTCGGATACTCTCCTTCCTTAAAAGCAGCTTTCCACCTTTTTGTTTTTTCCAAGGTGGAAAGGAAATTAATCCTCACAGCTTTCACTGACATTAATAACACACCTTGGAGCATAAAGCCTTTCAGCTTTTTGATAACCGAGAAATACTCTTTCTTTCCTGATGCGTTCCGACCCCTGGCGCAGCGCCTGGAAGAGCAGGCGCTTCAGTCTCGGGCGTCTATTCAGACTGTGAATTTCACAAGCCTGAAGCGGTCGTTTCTCTTACATGTGGTTTCTCGTTTTAAGGGAGCTTGGGGTGGGGGCAGCATTGGAATAATCCAGGTCTTTTGGCTTCATCCCTGCATTTTCCTTTTACCTCCCCCAAACGCTATTTAGTTGTTTACAGACAGAGGTAAGCGAAAGAAAACGCAAGAGAGCCATCTGCTGTCTGAAGCTGTGATAAAACAGTGTGCAAAACCAGAGTGAAAACCCGTTCAGGGCGGTTGAACACAAATCCATACTTTGCTGTAATTCAGAAAATAATTTCTCGATCATGAGAACCTCCTTGGAGTTGTTAATTTCACCTTTGGCTTTATAAAAACGAAGGATAAGTACCGCCAGGTAGAGTGGCTCCTGACCAGCCTGTTAGGAGTCTGGACTCTGATTTGAATCTTGGTTCAATTCTTGACTCTGTTGCTTCCTGACTCTATAGTGACTTCCAGCAAGATGCTTTAGTCTCTCTCAGCCTCTATTTCCTCATCTCTAAAAGTGAGATGATACTAGAATCTCCTTTTCAAGTCTTGAGAGGTTAAATTTAGTAAATGAATGTAAAGATCCTACTACAGTGTCTGACACATCCTAAGTGCTTAAAAAATGACAGCTATTATTATCATTCTCTTCCAGATCACTCATTTCTATCTTGGAAATTCTTTTCCAATTTCCACTTTTTTTCAATATCAAAATATATGTATTCCCATGTATATTTTCTCACCTTCTAAATAAATGGATACATGACAAGGTTTAAAATAATCAGGAGTGTAAAAAATTATTTTAAGTTTTTGTGAAAGAAGTCTGAGTTCAAACTTCAGTTTGTGAATGCGAATTTGTAAATTTGTGAATTTAGCTCTGTGAGCCCATTTCCTCACTCATTGACTACTGATAATGAAAACGTTTTCCTCCCTCACAGAGATCAATTTGTGTGCCTACGAGAAAACAGTTCTAAAACTGTAAAGCCCCACACAAACATCAGGTTCATTTTTCACACAAACATTTGTTCATTAGAAGGTAATTATTCAACTACTTCCCTGTGCTTGCAGGTCTCCTGAAGACACCATGCTCTTTTTTGGCTTCTGTGCTTTGCATATGTTGTTCCCTCTGCATGGAACGTTTTTATTGCCTCTTGTCCATACTCTTCTTGTTGATATAAAACAGTGGCTAAAACTACAATTGGAGTAAGGCAAACACAGGCTTCACTGTACGTCCTTGAGCAATTCATTTAAATCTCTCTAGGTCTCAGTTTCCTCTTCTATAAAACTGTCATAACAATACAATAAATTATAAGGAGGATTAAATGAGAATATGTATTAGAACACTTAAAGCAGTGCTTGTCACATGGTGGAAATTCAATAAATAGTAGCTACTGGTAATCCCTGAACACCTCATCGCTCAAGTCTTCATTTATTCAATGACCAAATCCTAGATTGACATCTTTATGAAGATATATAATACACATCTCATACTTAACATGACCAAGATTATATTCTTGTTCTTCCTTCTCAGATCTATTCTTTCCAGTCTTTCCCATCTCTGGAATGACAACTCAATTCTTCTCATACTTCAGGCTAAAAACTTTGGCATCATACTGATCTCATTTCTTTCTTTAATACCCCATATGTAATTCCTCACCAAAATCTATTTACTCTATCCTCAAAATATATCTAAAATATCATCACTTCTCAGTATCTCCACTGCTACCTACCACCATCATCTTCCGGAGAGAAGCAACCTAATTGGTCCTTTGGGTTCCATGCTTGCTTTTCTTTGATATGCCCTCAACACTGGCCAAAGTGTTGAAGGTATAAATCAGATTATATCATGCCCCTGCTCAAAATCCTACACCTTAATAGAAACCAAAGTCCTCACAGTGTCTACAATGTCCCAT